TTCAACTGTGGTACTGGGTTCATTTCACTGGGGAGTGCCAGACAATCAGCACTGGTCACCTGGTGCAGCCCGACCAGTGAGAGCTACAGCAGGGTGAGGCATTGCCTCAACTGGGAAGTGCAAGGGGGAAGGGAATCCCTTTTCCTAGCCAGGGGAACTGAGACACGCAACACCTGGAAAATTGGGTAACTCCCACCCTAATACTGCACTTTACCAATAGTCTTAGCAAACAGCACACCATGATTATATCTCACACCTGGCCAGGAGGGTCCCATGCCCATGGAGCCTCCCTCATTGCTAGCACAGCAGTTGGTGATCTAACTGCAAGGCAGCAGCGAGGCTGGGGGAGGGGTGCCTGCCATTGCTACGGCTTAAGTAGGTAAACAAAGCTGCCAGGAAGCTCAAACTGGGTGGAGCCCACAGCAGCTTAAGGAGGCCTGCCTGTCTCTGTAGACTCCACCTCTGGGGACAGGGCATAGCTAAACAAAAAGCAGGAGAAACCTCTTCAGATGCAAATGACCCTGTCTGACAGCTTCCAAGAGAGCAGTTGAGATCTGAGAATGGACAGACTGCCTGCTCAAGTGGGTCCCTGACCCCTGAGTAGCCTAACTGGGAGACATCCCCCACTAGGTGCAGACCGACATCCCACAACTCACACGGCAGGGTACACCCCTGAGACGAAGCTTCCAGAGCAAGAATCAGACAGGAACACTCGTTGTTCAGCAATATTCTATCTTCTGCAGTCTCCACTGCTGATACCCAGGCAAACAGGGTCTGGAGTGGACCTCAAGCAATCTCCAACAGACCTGCAGCTGAAGGTCCTGACTGTTAGAAGGAAAACTAACAAACAGAAAGGACACCCACACCAAAACCCCATCAGTATGTCACCATCATCAAAGACCAAAGGCAGATGAAACCACAAAGATGGGGAAAAAGCAGGGCAGAAAAACTGGAAATTCAAAAATTAAGAGTGCATCTCCCCCTCCAAAGGAATGCAGCTCATCATCAGCAATGGATCAAAGTTGGACGGAGAATGACTTTGATGAGTTGAGAGAAGACGACTTCAGTCCATCAAACTTCTCAGAGCTAAAGGAGGAATTATATACCCAGTGCAAAGAAACTAAAAATCTTGAAAAAAGAATGGAAAAATGGATAACTAGAATAATCAATGCAGAGAAGGCCATAAATGAACTGACAGAGATAAAAACCATGACACGAGAAATACGTGACAAATGCACAAACTTCAGTAACCGACTCGATCAACTGGAAGAAAGAGTATCAGCATTTGAGGATCAAATGAATGAAATGAAGTGAGAAGAGAAATCTAAAGAAAAAAGAAGAAAAAGAAATGAACAAAGTCTTCAAGAAGTATGGGATTATGTGAAAAGACCAAATCTATGTCAGATTGGGGTGCCTGAAAGTGAGGGGGAAAATGGAACCAAGTTGGAAAACACTCTTCAGGATATCATCCAGGAGAACTTCCCCAACCTAGTAAAGGCAGGCCAACATTCTAATTTAGGAAATACAGAGAACGCCACAGAGATACTCCTCGAGAAGAGCAACTCCAAGACACACAATTGTCAGATTCACCAAAGTTGAAATGAAGGAAAAAATGTTAAGGGCAGCCAGAGAGAAAGGTAGGGTTGCCCACAAAGGGAAGCCCATCAGACTAACAGCGGATCTCTCAACAAGTATATTTTCATATATCATCTTCCACAAATGCATTCTTGTACTTCTTTTTTTGTGACCCCTTTCATTGTTTCCTCAGAGACTACTATTTAGGAAGCATCTCTATCTCTCTATATATTAGTTATCTTTGAAACAGAATCTCCAAGCATTTTTCAGGTGTGGTGTAGAAGGTTGGAAGCTGTGCAGGAGACAAGGGTATTGCAAGAACCTGCACTCTTGCTTCTCGTTATATTCCATCACTGCTCCCATAAATCCCTTGGACACAAAGACAAATGCCCCATGTAGTCAGCACCTCTTGATTATTTCGTCTGAGAATAGTTGGGGCAGATGGGCAGTTAAAAAATAAACACTAAGTTGTAACCACATATAAACAAATACAGAAAAGAGCATGAATTAAAAAAGCTATTTCCAACAAGAGAAATCTTATTCTCCCATTGACTTATACAAGGAATAACATCATCCTTCAGGTCATATCTATCCCTAGTGGAGAAATAATTTTGTTCCCAGAACAAGTCCAGTAGTATAAGGATCCCATAGACAGGTAATATATCAATATAACATTAGCACAGCCAGGATTAGTTCACAAATAGTAAAAGGAAAATTACCTTCTGTATGAGCTCATTTGAGTTTAGCACACAATCAAAACATGAATAAGAAATATGAGTAGCCTACAGGCACATATAATTTTATACTCATACATAGAATGCAAGATTAGGATAAAGGAAACTTGATGCAGTCATCTGGGCCTAGATGCAGTACTTCTAATCACTCAATAACTAGGTCATCCCAACATTCCAAGCTAGGACACAGAGCTGCATGTCATCCTTAAAGTAGGATCAATGCTTGAGTATAGGATCCTGTTCTGCCTAGCAACCCTCACAACACCTTCCCACCTATGTGTTCTTCAAGTCAGAAGTCTTGGTGTTATCTTTGATTTATTTTTCTCTCACAGCCTAGAGCTAATTTTTCAGGAATTCCCACTGGCACTTAAAAAATAGATATATATAAAATCTGATATATCTGATTTCTCTCCATATATATGATTAACACATTGATTTGGAAACACTATCTTCTCTCTGGATGCCTATAACAGCATCCGTAATCCTTTCTCTTCTTTCATTCTCATCATCTTGTGCCGTTCCCTTTAAGTCAGAAGCAATATTTTAACAACATATGTCAAATAATGTCAATTCACTGCTCAACTTTGGTTTTTATTCTGAGAGAAATTATGAATCTTTGCAAAGTAAAATCCTTACATGGTTGATATGGTTTGGCTCTGTGTCCCTACCCAAATCTCATCTTGAATTATAATCCCCACATGTCAGAGGAGGGGACCTGGTGAGAGGTGATTGGATCATGGGGGCAAATTTCCCCCTTGATGTTCTGTTTAAAAGTGTGTGGCACCACCCCCCTTCTCTTTTTCCTGCTCCACTCTGGTAAGACCTGCTTGCTTCCCCTTCATCTTCCGCCATGATTGTAAGTTTCCTGAGGCCTCCCAGCCATGCTTCTGTACAGCCTGCAGAACTGTGAGTCAATCAAACCTCTTTTCTCCATAAAATTACCCAGTCTCAGGTAGTTCTTCATAGCAGTGTGAGAACGGACTGATACAATGGCCTACAATGTTCTGTGTGATCACATCACAGCTAATTGAAAAAAAAAAAGAGCACCACCAAGGTGGGGTAGGGCATATTATATTCACAGGATCAACAATAAGACTGATATTAATAGATACTTGACTCCAAAAAAAGCAAGTGAAGGCAGAATATGATTAACATACTAAAGTGGATGAAAGAAGAATTACCCATTTAAAAATCTATTCAAATTTAAATAGAATTTTAGACTCAGGCCCAGGACGTGAGTCATCTTTCACAAACAAAGATGACTAACAGAATTTCACAAACGAGCAAAAGCTGATGGAATGTGTCACTATAAGGCCTGTAATAAAAGCAAAAATAAAAGTAGTTTTTCAGGCAGGAAAAAAAATGATCCAAATGGAAACATGAAAAAGCTGGAGGGATTGGGGAACACCAAAGCAAATATGCATACAAATGTAAAAGAATCTAGATTTTACAAAAGAAAAGGCAGAGTGGGGAGGATGTCAATGAATTAAACACAGTGAAAAGTGTTCCAATATTCCAGCAGTTATCTCCAGCACAGTTTGAGCCAATGGCCCCACTGCCCACTCCCCCACTCCATGTGCTTCTTATCCTGCTCCTATGATGACAGGATAACCCACTCAGAATGCAGTTGGGGGCAAAGTAAGGTGCTTTGTTCACAAAATCCCTGTCTATTCCATCTGGCTCTTGTCTGGCTTTTGTCTGGCTTTTGCCGAATTAGGTTTTGGTGAGGTGCTTTTCATATAGGCTGTATCCCCTTGGCCTGGCTGTACATGGTTAATTTAGGCTGCAACTTTAAATGTACTATGTAGGAATTCCACTTTATCCCAGTATCCCAAAAGATCAGACTTATCATGGAGGAGGGCTGAGTCCACACCCTTGAGGGCCAACTGTTATAGAAGGGGAAGTTAGTTCTAGGGTACCTGTGTGGGAAGGGAGTGGATATGACTGAGTTACAGGGTTCTGATTGCTTTTAAAAATTATGGGGAATTAGGGTAGACAAAATCCATGGAGAACTCTAGTGAAAAGCATCTTCTCAGGTCCTTGAAAAATAGCACACATTAAGTCAGTTGTAGTAGAAAGATCACCCTTTATCATTTATAGATGATTGGGTAATTTCCTAATTGTTAATAAGGAATCACATTCATAGTGGCTTCTTGTTTATTTACTTAGATCCTCCTATCCTATCCTTGTGAGTTAGAAAATATTGTAAAATTATCTCTACCTTAGAGACAAGAAAAATAGATCAGGGATCAGAGAGTTGTCATATCAAGGTCATGAGCTGGTTATTAACACATATCTCAGGCCAATATGAAATATGAATGCAAAATAAAATGCCTAATGGATGACCTTGGCCTGGTCAGGCTGGACTTCCTGCCCTTTCAAGTCAATTCTGAGAGGAGTTGCCTGCAGTGTATATTTTCTGATGAGGTTGGCTTTCTTAGAAGACACTAAGAATGATGGTAAAGAGTAAAGAGAGGCACAGCAAACACCAAGACATAAGCCGGCTCCACCTGAAATGCTCACAGCCTCTGGCAAGTAGGGTATGATTCCTGGTAGGCACAACTCAGTGCCACTGACTGGGGAGGAGGCATGGGCTATAGGAAACAAGGATACAGTCCTTGGGTCAGGGGAGTCCCCTTGTGTAAACCCAGAGAGAGGAGGCCAGAGATGTCTCTGAGGACTCTGCTCAAGTGCAGCAGTTTCTGCTTCCTCAGTCTTTTGGGAGAAGGGCAGAGGCTGGTGAGGATTAAAGCCAGCTGCTCCCTTCCCAGCTTCCTCCTTCTAAGACTCCTTAGACTGAAAGAGGAAGGCAGCACTGGCGCTGCATGAAGCTAATGAAAAGGGCCCAGGATTGAAAGTCAGACTGAGGACTGTGGACAGAGCTGCAACTCAGGGAAATAGGAAACAAGTGACATTGTGGGGGTGAGCAGGAAGGTGGGCATGAGCAGGAAGGTGGGCGTGAGCAGGAAGGTGGGCGTGAGCAGGAAGGTGGGGGCACTCAATTTCTTCCCACAGCCAGTCCTGATCTTAGGCATCAGCTCTCTAACCCTGTTATTGCTTCTACTCTAGTCCTTCAACAGAGGGAACAGAAGTCTTGATAGTCCCACCCAAGTGATTGGTGCACAAACTCCAGATGCTCTCCCCACCACAGAGGATGCCTGCTTCCTTCCCATGTCAAACACTGTGGGCCATCTCCAAGAAGTCTTAGCTGATTATTCCAGTTTGGATCTGTCACTTCTCACCTCCTGTCATGGCTTTTCCTAACCCCTGCAAATGCCCCCATTCCAATTAAATGGCTTCTGCATTAGTCAAGAGGAAGAAAATGGGGCCTGAACTAGACAGATGGCAGGGAAAGGTAAGAAACACGTTGTCTTTGAGGTTCTTCTACCAGAAGCAGAGTCTTGAAGTACCTTGATTATGTGATTATCCTTCCTTGTCTGGTTCTAAATTTTTCAGATCTATCATTCTGATATCCTTTTAAGATAAAGGTATAGGCAACCAAATAGATATCAGTATTAACTGAGTCCATTCCAAATACAGAGGCCCCTTTTAAGGAGAAATAGAAGTCCTTTGAGCATGGACATCTTAGTTCTGAAAACAATGAACAGTTTGGACAAAACTTGCACTACGGAGGAGGTCTTAGTTTCTGGATATTAGGGGAGGAAGACTGGCTCCATTCACACTCCTACTCTGAGTCCTTCATTCTGAGGAGCTGGTTTTAGATGGACTTCAAAGGAAATAAGATTTACGAACTGTAAATCTGTCTTTTCAGGAAGAAATCTGATAGAAGAGATGCCTTTTTTTTTTCTTGTATGAAGATCAGTAGATAGCTCACAGGGTGGTTAGTGATGTTCAAAAGTTGAATGGAGGAATCTAGGGGGACATGGAGACTCAGATAAAGTAAAACGTGGCTTTTGTGGAAAATACATATTGAGATAAGGTAAAGGTGCAGCAGGTTTGTGGGATTATTTCACAGTATTTTAGAAGAGTGTCTTAGATGCCAGACATGTTTCTAGGTACTGATACGTACTTGAAAATAAAAATGACTATTGTCGTAAGTGCTTGTTCCTGACAAAAATGCACAAACATTATGAATATTTAAAATAGTATTTTCCATTAAGAAGATAATTTTATTCTGGTGCAGGTAACAGAGTATTGTAATTGGGATGCTTAGAACTTCCATCCTGGATGCATTTTAAATGAGAAGATAACCCAAACTCAGCTTAAATCACATGAGGGGAGTAGTAGTCTGACAGATATGTCTTCCAGTAGTCTAGTAGTCATATTTTATTTAGTGAAATGCTCCACACCTATGTATGTTAGAGGCTGGGTTTACAGAAGGAAATAGGTAGAGTTTCCTAACCCCAGTCCCTTCACTTCATGATATGGTGGGTAATTGTTGAAGGATAAATATTGGAGAACAAAGTGGAACTTTGTATGCCTGTTAGGATTCTTTTGTAGCAGTAGTTGCTGAGAGATGCTGTGGCCTGAACAAGGATGATGGTGTTGGAAGGGTGTTGGAAATGCAATGGGCAACGTGGAGATTTACTATGTAGGATGATCCAGTGGTGCTTGCTGATGATTAAATACGGTGCAGGAAGAAAAGGGAAGAATCCAGGATGACTGGTTGGGCAGGATGTTATGTTCTGAGATATGGGTAGCACAAGAAGAGAAGTAGTCATGATTTCTGCCTCAGGCATGACAGGTTTGACATATCTGTGAGGCAAATATGTGGGGATATCAAGTATGGAGTTGGATATTCTAGTCTGGAGCTTACAAGGAATGTAAGGTATGTAAATTTGTGTTTGTTTCAGGATACGTTTACATTCTCAGTGGTCAACAAGTAGACCACCTGGAAAGATACATTATTCAAGGTCTTTCAGGAGCAGTATTCTCTTTCTTCTCCTAAGTTTCAAGTTTTCCTCACTATTGGATAATTTTCTTCAGCTAAAGACATGATAATTCTGTTCTAAAAAACAAACACACACAGAGACATGCACACACACACACACACTCACACACACACAGTTGACTTCGCTTTCCATTTTAGCCAGTGCCCTATTTACTTGCCATCCTTTGCTTCCAAATTCCTCAAAAAAGTTAGCCATGTTAACAGACTTCAATTCCCCTCTTATCTATTCTAACTCAGTCAAGTCAGGCTTTGCCTGTCTCTATTCTAGCAAAATTGCTTTTATCAAGGTATCCAATCCTCTTGTGCAATTCTAAACACAAGGCCTGATTTCAAATTCTTTGACTCATCAGTAGCATTTTACATGGTAATAATCCCCTTGTTAATAAACTATAGTCTATATACTGAGATAGTACATTATTTGGGAATGTTTCTATCTTAATAGTTTCCACTGTCAGTTTCCCTTGCGAATGTCTCAATGTGCCCCAACTCCTCTCCCATCCATTCTTAATGTTGGGATTCAGTTCCAGGTTCTCTGGTTCTCTTTTCTCTGAACATTTACTAACTGGGTGATCTCAAACAGTTTCATGGCTTTAAATATGATCTATTTTCTATATGTATTACCATATTCACTTGAATTTCTGATATCTCAAACTCACCATGTTCAAAATTGAAGTCTTGAGCTCCTCCTTTCATGCTTTTCCCATCTCAATTGGGAGCAGCTCCTGTCAGTTGTTTATGCCAAAAATAAAGGTGTCATCTTTGACTCCCTGTTGTCTCACTTCCTATATCTAACCTGTCAAAAATACCATTGACACATTTAAATAATATATCCACAATCCTATTACTTCCCACGACATACACTGCTACCTTGATTCTGAGTCAATGTTCTCCCTTCCCTGGATTCCTGCAACAGTCTCCTGGTACTTTCCCCCAATTCTACCCTTACCTCTTTGTGCTATTGTCCATCATAGATGCCAGGGAAAAGTTTAAAAGTATAAGTCAAATATATCTCTTCTCTGCTGAAAACAATGTCTTTGATTCTGAGAGAAATGAGGAACTTTTGCAAAGTCCACAAAGGCCTATGGGACCCTGTGTGATCTGGCCCCACTGTTCTGACCCGATTCTCTTGCTCATTTGCTTCATCCTACCTGTGCTGGCTGCCTCCTGATATTTGAATACCAGGGTTTTTATGTCTTAGGGCATTTTCTCTGGCTGTTCCATTTTCTCAGACTGTTCCTTTCTCCTGGGTGACTCCTATATTCCAAATCTATTATGGTCTTCTCAAGTCCTGTCATCCCTCCTTATTGTTGTAGGCATTATTGTGGGAACCATTTGAGTGTAGGTGTAGGTTGATAGCACCTTACTCAGCTGCATCCCACCCCAGAGTTTCTCTGCTTTATTGCATGGGCACCTCAGGGATCTCATTCAGTTATTCTGGTGCATGTATGGACCTGAAAATGCAAGGAAATCTACACTCCTTGGGTCATCCTTGACCCATGGGGTGTGGGAGCCAGTGGATAAAAGTTCCCCTCTTCTGTGTCTAGAGTGGACAATTCTTTGGTTCCTTCTCTATAGTTCTTCATGTGGAATTGGATTATCCATCTCAGTAAGGCAACTTTGGATCCATATTCTCTCTCCTGTTCCACTCCTTCATCCTATTCTTGTTCACTGTATAATTGTTCTGTATATGCTACTGGCATGAAATTTTAGTTTCTGACATTTAAGGAAGTGAAGTATTTCCTCACCTCATTCAATTTTTCTCAAATTTATTTTCCAATGAGGTCTATAATGAGCCTTTTATTTCAAATTTCAACTTTTCCTGCTCTCTATCATGAAACACCTATCATAATTGCCCTGTTCCTTGGTTTTTAAATCACAACAATGAAACTGTGTGTAATATGTAATTTAATCATGATGTCCTTTTATTATCCTTCCCCAACCTTTAGCAAACTTATTCTACTAAGGGATCCATCTATTTTGTTCATGAATTTTTCCTTAGCCCATTCAGTGAAAATATTTAAATAGTTGTCATTAAATTTAATTGATATATTTTCTGAATGACATGGATATAAAATTTGAAAAGATCATGCTTGAGAACTGTCAAAATGCAATACTCACAGTTAGGGCAGAAGCTGGAGCTGGGAAATGGAAATACGGTGGTACACAAGAGAAAAATGAGTTTTAAGCAGGAGAGTGGTCAATTCAGAAAAAAGTTGCTCAGAGGTCCAGTTGCATGAAGCCAGTTAAGTGATAAGGGCACCATCATCATGGAGGTCATTGATTGTCACAGTAAAAGGAATTTTTGGTTTGTAATGGGAATAAAATCCAGATTGATATGTTTCAAAACCAATTATCCTTGAGAGAGTTGAGATTGTAGACATTTCTACATGCTTTGCTATAAAGAAAAGCAGAGGTTTGACTGAAAGGAGGAGGATTTAATGTCATGGTAGATTTAATCAACATAAATAATTTTTTAAAAAGTAAGTAACAGTTCTACAGAAGAGAAATATAAATGACAAAGCTCTGCACACTAAGAAATTATACAAAATGATTTTATACATAATCACACTTAACTTCCCTATACCCCTAAGATAAAGGTAGTTCAGTGCTATTTCCCGTTAACAGAGAAGGAAACAAACTAGTACATAAGTTATTTGTGCAAGGTCTGCCACTAGAATATGTGGCAGTCATGATTTCAGCCAGTAACTTTAGATTCTAAACATTTTCTAAATCTTATAGAAGGAAGTTAGTTTTCAGTCTGGTTATGCTGGATACAGGTTGCATATAGGGCATCTAGATGGAAACAAAAAGCCTAGTTACTTAGGACATTGGAATCAGTAGAAAGAAGGACTAAATATGGCTGTCTGACACTATTAGCTATAACATCTTTGAGCAATTACATTTCCCAATAGTTTTTTTTTTAAAAAAAGACCAAGTTTTTATTTTCAGTATTTACTTTGCTCTGTAACTAGTAAGTGTTTGAAGTACATTATCTCATTTAATCCTCATAAGAACCTCATTAAGTGGATCCTATATTTTATATTTTGTATAAATATATATAAAAATATATTTATATTTATAAATATATATAAAAATATATTTATATTTATAAATATATATAAAAATATATTTATATTTATAAATATATATAAAAATATATTTATATTTATACTTCACTTCCTTTTATATATATTTATACAAATATATATTTTATAATTTTATAATAACAATCTTGGTAAAAACTGGGTAACTCCAGTGTTTAAGGATCTGAAAAAAGAAAAGTGACCAGAACAAGATAAAAAGGTGAAAAATTATTAACAAGAAGGACATTTGGAAGTCAGAAGTCAGTCTTGCTAAAGATGAGAGAGAATTGTCCTGTGACGAAAAGAAGGAACTGGAAGACAGATGGAGGGAGAGTAACACGCACAGGGAGTTTAACATGAATTTCAATGGAGAACCAAAAAAGGACCTTTCATTTTCTCAATATGCTTGCAGCATGGCTGTATTTACGGAGACCTATGAGTATTGAGAAGATGTGAAAGATATACTGTAGAGCAGTGGTCTTAAACAGAAATTTCTACAATGATGGAAATATTCTTGGTAGTCACTAGTCACATGTGGCTATTGAGCACATGAAAAGTGTTTTTGCATAAATGTGAAATTAATTTATTAAATATAAATTTAAGTTTACATAGTGACATATGGCTAGTAGCAACCGTATCATATAAAGTAGTTTTAGGGAAAATATGCAGATTGTGTGATTAATTTGGGCATTAGAAACCGAAAGGTTTGACTTATACAGGGACTCAACTGAGATTTCAGGAGAGAAAATTGGCTCTTGCATTTGGGAATTTAGCTCAACTGAAAGGTAGAATGGTACCAATGTATGTGCTAAAGAAATGAATTGACTTAAACATATTTTCACTTCTTTTTTCAAGGTATTCATGGCATCACCAAGAACACAGAAAACGCTACATATACTCCATTCCTTTATGAAAGTTGTCTTGGGATATCAATTCTATGGATATTTAATATTCTATCTACTCAATGAGATTCAAATTTCTTTGAGGGTAGAAAATATGGATTATGCTTCTCCATGTCTATGAAGGCTGCTAGGTTATTTTATTTGAAGTCTAGCAGTGGAAACAAGAGGTAATCTTTGCAGGTGGAATATAATAGGTTGAACTCTAATCATATATATTATAGAAAGTGTGTATAGAAGGTGAAGAAGCCCTGTAAAAATTGACAAGGAGATTTTCTGGGAGCCATGCTTCCCTCTAATATCACCTCAACACATCCAGCTACCTTTTTGTTGGTAGGAATTCCTGGTTTGGAACACCTGCATGTCTGGATCTCCATCCCCTTCTGCTTTGCTTATACTCTGGCCCTGCTGGGAAACTGTACCCTTCTCTTCATTATCCGGGCTGATGCAGCCCTCCATGAGCCCATGTATCTCTTTCTGGCCATGTTGGCAACCATTGACTTGGTTCTTTCTTCTACAACGCTGCCCAAAATGCTTGCCATATTCTGGTTCAGGGATCGGGAGATCAGCTTCTTTGCCTGTCTGGTCCAGATGTTCTTCCTTCACTCCTTCTCCATCATGGAGTCAGCAGTGCTGCTGGCCATGGCCTTTGACCGCTATGTGGCCATCTGCAAGCCACTGCACTATACCACAGTCCTGACTAGGTCCCTCATCACCAAGATTGGCATGGCTGCTGTGGTCCGGGCTGTGACACTAACGACTCCACTCCCCTTCCTGCTGAGACACTTCCACTACTGCCGAGGCCCAGTGATTGCCCATTGCTACTGTGAACACATGGCTGTGGTGAGGCTGGTGTGTGGGGACACCAGCTTCAACAATATCTATGGCATTGCTGTGGCCATGTTTATTGTGGTGTTGGACCTGCTCTTTGTTATCCTGTCTTATGTTTTCATCCTTCAGGCAGTTCTCCAGCTTGCCTCTCAGGAGGCCCGCTACAAGGCATTTGGGACATGCGTGTCTCACATAGGTGCCATCCTGTCCACCTACACTCCGGTAGTCATCTCTTCAGTTATGCACCGTGTAGCCCGCCGTGCTGCCCCTCACGTCCACATACTCCTTGCTATTTTCTATCTCCTTTTCCCACCCATGATCAATCCTATCATCTATGGAGTCAAGACCAAGCAGATTCGTGATTATATGCTCAGTCTATTCCAGAGAAAGAACATGTAGATGGATAGTTCTCTTTTCTTTAGCCCCTGGGTCAAGTAATGAGAATGCTGGATTGGGGTTGAGAGGAAAAATCTAAATAGGAAAATTGCTGAATGTCTTTGACAATTCTCTAGTATGACAAGGAAAATGAGGTTTCATTCCTCACAGATCTATGAGTCAGGTCAAACCAGGAGTGCACCTATAGTCTGGTCTGATAGTAGAGGTTTGACCTTCCCATTGTCATAGACTCATCATATGGCTAAGGAAGACAGCCCTCTCAAAGTAATATTGTAGTCTAGGTGGAAGACAGTAGGAATATTGGCTGAGATTGGCCCAAACAGCTGAGTCACCCAAACAGGTGACTTCTTTATCCAGGTATGAGTGAGGAAATGAACCACAAATTTTGTGACCCCAAAACCATTATTCCTTTTAGTACTAAAATTACCCCCATGTCTTTTCTGACAAGTACCCTCCACCCTTTGCTCCTCTTTTTATAGCCTACTATTTCCCAATTTTATTTCTACAGTTAGACAGCTCCATTTATAAGTAGATATATTTCTTCCATTAAGTCAATTCTTTTTACTTCCTTCCTGATAGACATGGCCAATTCTTTTGGTGAACACTTATCAAAAGAGTCCTCTGATGTTCCTTTTTATCAATTTATATTATCCTGTATCTAGCTTTGCACATGCATGTCCTTTGCTTCCAAAATACTTAGTAATATTTATTAAATGAATAGATAGAAGAGCCGAATACCATCTTTGAACTATGGACCATGAAAACAGAAATAACACCATTCCCTCTTGAAGCTGAGACTTCTGAAAATAAGAAAATAGAATACAGTCACACACTGCATAATGAAGTTTTGGTCAGTGATGGGTCACCTATATGATGGTGATTGAATAATATTATAGTATCATATATATACTGTATTTTTTTAAACTTTTAAGTTACATGTACAGGTTTGTTATCTAGGTAAACCCATGTTGTGGGGGTTTTGTTGTACAGATTATTTCATCACCCAAGTATTAAGCCTAGTATCCATTAGCTATTTTTCTGTTTAAATACACAAATACTTATTGTGTTACAATTGCCTACAATATTGGGTTTGTAGCCTAGGAACAACAGGCTATACCATATAGCTTAGGTATATAGTAGGTGATACCATCTAGGTTTGTGTAAATACACTCTATGATGTTCACAGGTTGATAAAATCACCTAAGGACACATTTCTCAGAATGTATCCCCATCATTAAGCAATGCATGACTAGTTACACATGATTGTAGTTGTGGTAGACTGTATTATTGTTCACCGATATTTAGTCTCCTGTCCTATCGGGGGTAGGATATTTCCTTCACTCCACCAATTTTAAACTTTGCCATGTGACTTGATTTGGCCAATGAAATTCGAGTAGCCCTGAAATGCATTTCAAGAATCAGAAAGTGTATAAAAAAATAACAGATGCTGGTGAGGTTGTGGAGAAAAGGAAACACTTATATACTGCTTGTAGGAGTGTAAATTATTTCACCCATTATGGAAAGCAGTGGGCAATTCCTCAAAGACCTAAAAACAGAAATACCATTTGACCGAGTGATCCTTTACCAGGTATGTACCCAAAGGAACCTAAGTTGTTCTACCATAAAGATAACATGTATGTGTATGTTCACTGTAGCACTATTCACAATAGCAAAGACACAGAATCAACCTAAATGCATATCAGCAGTTGACTGGATAAAGAAAATGTGATACATATGCATCATGGAATACTATGCAGCCATCAAAAAGAATAAGATCATGTCCTTTGCAGAAACATGGATGGAGCTAGAGGCAATTATTCTTTGCAAACTAAAAGGGGAATAGAAAAATAAAATACCACATGTTCTCACTTATAAGTGGGAACTAAATAATGAGAACACGTGGACACAAAGAGGAACAACAGACACTGGGGCCTATTTAAGGTAGGAGGGAGAGGATCAGGAAAAATAGCTATCAGGTACTATGGCTAGTATCTGGGTGATCAAAGAACTTGTACAACAAACTCCCGTGACACAAGTTTATATAACACACCTGCACATGTACCTCTAACCTAAAATAAAATTTAAAAAGGACACTATGATATTGGTGCAAAGATTGAATGGAAAGGAACAGAAAGACAAAAAGTTGCCTGGCCCATATAGACATGTGTTATTGCAGATGTGTGTGATACATATGCACCATGGAATATATGCAGCCATCAAAAAGAATAAGATCGTGTCCTTTGTGGGAACATGGATGGAGCTAGAGGCCATTATGCTTTGCAAATTAAAAGTTTGCATTAACTTTCCTCCTTTCTTTCCCCTCAGCTGCAAAACCCAGCAAAGTTCCAGTTAGAGGTTGTGACAAAGCCAAAGTCCACCCACAATGAATAAGAAGTGTAAATGAGAAATAAACTTTGTGTTTGAGCTGCTAATAAAACCTTAAACTGTAAAACATGGTTAGAAGGCTTGGTTTATCTTTCATTCTTTCCCTCTGCCAGAAGAATAAGCATATCACAGCCTAGACTCATGATGAAGATCCATGGAGCAGATGTGAATCTGACTCACTGCCTGTAGCATAGTCATAACTGACCCACAGTGTTCATATAATATGAACAAGGATGATTTTGTTGTTTTTGTAGTGAACCACTGAAATTTGGGAGTTGTTTGTTTCACAGCCTTACTCAAGGAACACCAATTGCTGGAGTTGTGAGTTCTAGCTTGCGTTTCAACTCATGACAGCTCAAGACTGAATATTTAAAGAAAAATAAAGAAAATCCAGTCTTCTTACAACATATCATAAAATTATTAATTTCACTTATCTCTGCTTTTGTCTTTCAAACTCTTATGATGAACACTTCTTCAGTCAGTTCTATAAAAACAAGCTCCCATACATACCTTTACGTGATCTACTTATACTGTAGGGCCAACCCTACAGGGTTTATGGGTTTTTCTCATGTGTGGAGACAAGGGATCATAGAAATAAAGACACAAGACAAAGAGATAGAAGAAAAGACAGCTGGGCCCCGGGGGACCACTACCACCAAGACGCGGAGACCAGTAGTGGCCCCGAATGCCTGACTGCAGTGTTACTTATTGGATACAAGTCAAAAGGGGCAGGGTAAGGAGTGTAAGTCATCTCCAGTGATTGATAAGGTCACGTGAGTCACGTGTCCACCAGACAGGGGGCCCTTCCCTGTTTGGCAGCCAAGGCAGAGAGAGAGAGAGGACAGCTTACGCCATTATTTCTTCTATGCATTTCAAAGACTTTTAGCACTTTCACTAATTCTGCTACTGCTATCTAGAAAACAGAGCCAGGTGTACAGGGTGGAACATGAAAGTGAAACAGGAGTGTGACCACTGAAGCACAGCATCACAGGGAGATGGTTTGGCCTCCCGATGGCTGTAGGGGGACCTGACTGATGTCAGGCCTTCCACAAGAGGTGTGGAACAGAGTCCTCTCCAACTCCCCCAGGGAAAGGGAGACTCCCTTTCCAGGTCTGCTAAGTAACGATGCCTTCCCTAGGCACTGATGCTACCGCTAGACCAAGGTCAGCTAAGTAGGGGTTGCCTTGCCAGGCACTGGCGTTACCACTAGACCAAGGAACCCTCTACTGGCCCTGTCCAGGCATGATAGAGGGCTCACACTTGTCTTCTGGTCACTTCTCCCCATGCCCCTTCAGCTTATATCTCTGTATGGCCTGGTTTTTCCTAGGTTATAATTGTAGAGCAAGGATTATTACAATAATGGAATAAAGAATAATGCTACAAACTGATGATCAATAATATTTATATATCATTGTATCTATAATCGATTTCTAGTATAACTATTCCTATTTTATATATTTTCTTTATTATACTGGAAGAGCTTGTGCCCTTGGTCTCTTGCCTTGGCACCTGGGTGGCTTGCTGCCCACATTATACTGTGTTCTTTTTTAATTTTGTGAACCTTTTGTTTTAACAGTGATATGAATCCCTTCAAGTTCAAGAAACTAATCAAAGTTTGATAGGCTCTGAAAAAGCATCCCACAGCCCATGCTGCTGTGCTAATGCTTACTTTACAGACACACATGGTGGATGATAGTTTAAGTGGGTCTCTTGACAGTTCTCAGGTATCTCACTCCTCCAGACATTGAAATAAGCTTTTCCAGGTATTGAATAGAAAGAAAATGGTATAAATTAAGGACCTCTGATTCTCCGATGGAAACTTTTCAAACTGTTGTTTGGTGTTCCTCAGTTGACACAGAACATTCTGTATATTAGATTACTGTTGAATAACACTCACTCTCCCAGAGTATACTTCCCCATACATTAACTATAGGCTTTGTCATGTGCACCACTTCCATGGGTGAGTGGGAGGAGTAATTAGTAGGTTTGGTGAAAGCAGAAGCTTAAAGTTTGCTTGTCTAGTGGGGCTTGCCATCTTCTTACTCTGCCACACCATGAGAATGTGACTGGTTAGCTCCCTGGTCCAAGGATGATAAGAGAAAAGTAGAGCAGAGCTGCCAGACCAACTCACAGTTTGAAGCAGAACCTCACAGCCAAGTCTGGCTTGGATTAGCCGATCCACAGCCAACCTACAGTTACATAAACAAACCTAGCTAAGATCAGCAGTCATCTCAGCCAATATTCAGATGTATGAGAAATATAGTTTTATTGTTGTATATCACTGAAATTTTGTATTTTTTCCCCACAAAAATAACAGACTTATACATTCTGGAAACTAATTATTTGTCTATTATTTAATACAGTGGATATAGTATAATGTATTAAATGAGTATTTCCAGGCTGCAAGATCTGATCTGCCCATGTTTGGTGCAGTAATTATTTTATCCTTCAAGGTATACTCATACCTTCTCATAGGCAGTGATTTTGTCCCACATAGAAGTTTAATAGTATATGAACTCCATTGCCACATAAGAAACAACAGTATAAACTTGACTTTAGTCACAAAGTTATTTTCTGTCTTATAGTGACACCAGGTGCTTAGATAGAGCATAGCACTAATGAGAACAATATTTCTCATGGTATTTCTAGAGTTGAAGAAATATCATTGTTCCCTCTGATCAAACTCCTAGCTGGAATAGCCCCAACAATGGAGCGAGGAGAGTTCCCACAATGAACTGCCGTAAACTATCCCAAGATAGGGCTGATTGGGATTCCAAAGAAGAACACTAAAATCTAACATTTAAGTCTCTAATCCATCTTGAATTAATTTTCATATAAGGAGTAAGGAAAGGATCCAGTTTCAGCTTTCTACTTATGGCTAGCCAAATTTCCCAGCACCATTTATTAAATAGGGAATCCTTTCCCCATTTCTTGTTTCTCTCAGGTTTGTCAAAGATCAGATGGCTGTAGATGTGTGGTATTATTTCTGAGGACTCTGTTCTGTTCCATTGGTCTATATCTCTGTTTTGGTACCAGTACCATGCTGTTTTGGTTACTGTAGCCTTGTAGTATAGTTTGAAGTCAGGTAGCGTGATGCCTCCAGCTTTGTTCTTTTGACTTAGGATTGTCTTGGAGATGCGGGCTCTTTTTTGGTTCCATATGAACTTTAAAGCAGTTTTTTCCAATTCTGTGAAGAAATTCACTGGTAGCTTGATGAAGAAAACCTAGGTAGTACCATTCAGGACATAGGCATGGGCAAAGACTTCATGTCTAAAACGCCAAAAGCAACGGCAGCAAAAGTCAAAATTGACAAATGGGATCTCATTAAACTAAAGAGCTTCTGCACAGCAAAAAAAACTACCATCAGAGTGAACAGGCAACCTACAGAATGGGAGAAAATTTTTGCAATCTAGTCATCTGACAAAGGGCTAATATCCAGAACCTACAAAGAACTCAAACAAATTTACAAGAAAAAAACAAACAACCCCATCAAACAGTGGACAAAGGATATGAACAGACATTTCTCAAAAGAAGACATTCATACAGCCAACAGACACATGAAAAAATGCTCATCATCACTGGCCATCAGAGAAATGCAAATCAAAACCACAATGAGATACCATCTCACACCAGTTAGAATGGCAATCATTAAAAAGCCAGGAAACAACAGGTGCTGGAGAGGATGTGGAGAAATAGGAACACTTTTACACTGTTGGTGGGATTGTAAACTAGTTCAACCATTATGGAAAACAGTATGGCGAGTCCTCAAGGATCTAGAACTAGATGTACCATATGACCCAGCCATCCCATTACTGGGTATATACCCAAAGGATTATAAATCATGCTGCTATAAAGACACATGCACACGTATGTTTATTGTGGCACTATTCACAATAGCAAAGACTTGGAATCAACCCAAATGTCCATCAGTGACAGACTGGATTAAGAAAATGTGGCACATATACACCATGGAATACTATGCAGCCATAAAAAAGGATGAGTTTGTGTCCTTTGTAGGGACATGGATGCAGCTGGAAACCATCATTTTTAGCAAACTATCACAAGAACAGAAAACCAAACACTGCATGTTCTCACTCATAGGTGGGAACTGAACAATGAGATCACTTGGACTCGGGAAGGGGGACATCACACACCGGGGCCTATCATGGGGAGGGGGGAGGGGGGAGGGGGGAGGGATTGCATTGGGAGTTATACCTGCTGTAAATGACGAGTTGATGGGTGCTGACGAGTTGATGGGTGCAGCACACCAACATGACACAAGTATACATATGTAACAAACCTGCACGTTATGCACATGTACCCTAGAACTTAAAGTAGAATAATAATAATAAAAAAAAACAAAACAAAAAAAAAAAAACAACAAAAAAAAGAAAAACACTAAAATCACGGCGACAGTCCAAAGAATTTATTAGGAAAACTTAAAGGGTGTTGTGGTGGTCCTTGTGATGGACAGTGAGAAAAGAGAGACTCTACCTAGGTATTTCAGCAAGGAGGGGTCAGATTATGGGGCTTATACGAAGGTTCAAGGATTTTGGCTCTGGGCTGGGGCTAGTTTCTGTGTGTTTAGCAACATGTTTGATCTTCAGTGTTTTGAACAACAACCTTCACATCTTTATCAGTGTCTGGAAATATTAAAGATCCCAGTTTTGGTTAAACCTGTAAAGGAAAACATGTAGCTGACTGGGTCACAGAGTGAATTATCTGGAAAGCCTGAGTAATTGTCAGTATTTGTCTGTACAATTCTTCTACATGGATCCCTGACTGATCCAGACAGCCATTTTAGCTAGGATACCACGAGTGTGCTGATAGCTTGGAAATGGTCAAACGACAGAGTCAGAATACAGATTTAACAAAACAAGGCAGGCAAACTTCAGTCTACTTTTTAGCAAAATCATTAGAAATAAAATTAATTGAATTTCAGGTTTTGCTTAGGATGCTTCTGTATTTCTATTGTCCCCTACTTCAAAAAATATGGCTACCTGTGTCTTATCCTCATAACTGGTGATTCAATTGGTCAAGAGTATAACCTGAGCTTTGAAATTTTTCAAAGATGCCCAGAGGATTCTGAAGTACAAGCAAGTTTTAGAAACAATAACCACCTAGTGCTTTTTACTACAAAAGGTATAGGTTTGTACATTATGGACAATTCTTTTATCAAACTCCAACTTCAGATAATGAAACATGAAAAGATTTTGTGAGAAGTTTGATGGACTACTACTTGCAGTTTTATTCTATTTTATTTTTGATATTTATAAGGATTAAAAGCTGAGAATAGCTTTTAATCTCATAAGCAATTTTCTACCTTTTTCTGACTAATTCAATTACTTCTAATCAAAAGAACATTACAATGAACTTTCTGTAATTTTTGTAATATATTCAAGAATCCATACCAAGGGATGTAAGCAGGTTATGAAAGCTAAATGTATTAAGCCCTTATGATGGTGAAGTTAATTTCCTCCTTCTGGACTTAGCTGGGACCAGTTTTCATAAAGAACCCAGTTTCTCACAGCTACCAAGTAGCTTTAATTCTTTTAGATAAGCTGAAAGAAGCCAAGGGAGTTGAAGATATGGTCAAGTGCCAGCCTCCCTGCCAGGGCAGTATCTGGGCGGTAGAGGTGGGATATCTTCTCTATTGTTGCATCAACAATCCTGTCAGACCATGAACAGGAGACATTCACTTTACCTATTCTTTTCTCTGGGTCATTGGCTGTAGGATTCAAAACTTGTGGAGAGGCCTGGGTGCTATCACAAAGGTGCAAGTAGGGAAATGGATAAAGAAATCATTCTGTCTTCTGTCTCTTAATGCAAAATGCACCCATCTCCTAGAGTAGTGGTTCTTAAATTTTAGTAGGCATCAGAATCACAAATTTCCAGGCTCTACCCTAGAGTTTCTCTAGGGAATACAGCCTGAGAATTTGCATTTCTAACAAGTTCCCAAGTGATGCCAGCATTGCTGGTTCTGGAATAACCAATGTCATAAAGAACATGGTCTAGTAATCCTGGAATCTGATCAACCTACTTCATAGGTGGAGGAGGTGGAAGAGAACAAAAAGATAAGGAGGTTGGAATGACGGGGAAAAGAATAAGAATATCTGTACTATGACTCTTTGACCTTCCTTACTCCCTAAATGCAGCATTGGTATTATTTGTTTCTAATGATCTAAATGATTTACAAATTCTGTCTTGGCTGGTGGCTTTTGACTACATGTTTTGGATGGTCTTTGGGAATGGCTGTAACTATAATCCTGGAGCTTCCCCTACTTAAAAACAATTCTATATAACTAGTGCCATTAAATTATTATCAGTCTCTATGAGGCACTAAGATGAAGCAGGATGAACTCATTTATCTATGTGTTTGATCTGTTTGTTAGATGACAAATTTAAAGCATTAAAAACCACTTGGTAATCTGGGCTAGCAAAGTGGAATGAATCTTCTAGAACCCTTAGTTCCTCTACTTCAATTTTCTAGGCTTGGCCTAAGAATGATCAAGTCTATGAATATTTTCCTGGATATATACCTCCCCTCCTAGGAATGAATTGTTTTGGGCCCAGATAATATATACTTTTGATAATTTCACTTATTTGTACCTTGATTTTCCCTTGGAGCCCTAGCTTGCTTTTCTCTTTCTCTGAAGCAGAATTGTTCCTCACAGGATCCATAATCATGCCAACTTCTCTGAACTGACTATATTGTACTGGATTCCCTGAAGTAGGTTCAAACTACAGGGCTGGTATCAGATATGTTTTTCTATTCAGACTTTCATTTAAATCTTTACTCCCTCTTGAGTTGATTCTTGTATATAGTATAAGGAAGGGGTCCAGCAGCAATAATCTGCATATGGCTAGCCAGTTATCCCAGCACCATTTATTGAATATTGGTCCTTTCCCTATTGCTTGTTATTGCTGACTTTATTGAAGATCATGTATCTCCACTTTTGTAGGTTACATATGAGAGATTATATAGTATTTGTCTTTCTGTGCCTGGCTTATAACATAATGCCATTCAGATTCATCCATACTGTTGCAAGTGATGGGATTTTAAGAATAGTATCCCATTGTGTATACATACCACCTTATCCACTCATCTGTTGATGGCCATTTAGGTTGATTCCATATCTTGGGTATAGTGAGTAATGCTGCAATGAACATGTGAGTACAGACCTATTTTCAACATGGGGTTTTCATTTCCTGTGGATATCCATCAATAAGAGGATTTAGTGATGGATATCTCATATGATATCCATATGAGAGTTATACTTTTAATTTAAGGAACTTCCATGCTTTTCCCCATAATGGCTGTACTAATCTACATTCCCACCAACAGTGTGCAAATGTTTCTTTTTCTCTGCATCCTCATCAGCACTTGTTTTTTTTTGTTCAGGACTGCTTTGGCTATTCACAACTTTTGTGGTTCTGTATAAAATTTAAGATTTTCCCCCTCTATTCATGAGGAAAACATCATTGGAATTTTAATAGGGATTGCATTGAATTTGTAGATTGATTTACTTAGTATGGGCACTTAAAAATATTCTTCTAATCCATAAACTTGGGATATCTTCTTACTTGTTTGTATTTTCAACTCCTTTCAGTGTTTTATAGTTTTCAGTGTACAGGTCTTTAACTCCTTGGTTAAATGTATTAATGTATTTCTACATTTTATTTTTTGTAGCTATCGAGAATGGAATTGTCTTCTTATTTTCAGATATTTCATTGTTAGTGTATAGAAACACTTGATTTTTATGTGTTGATTTTATCTATGACTTTTCTAAATTTATTAGTTCCAACAGTTTTTTGTGTGTGGAATATTTAGTTTTCTGTATGCAAGATTATTTCATCTGTAAACAGGGACAGTTTAACTTCTTTCTGATTTGGAGGTCTTATTTTTTCTCTTGCCTAATTGCTCTAAGACTTCAGCACCATGTTGAACACAATTGGTGACAGTGGGAACCCTCGTCTTGTTTCTGATTTTACAACTTTTCATTTTGAGTGTGTTGTTAGCTGTGAGCTTATCATATACAGTCTTTGTTGTGTTAAGGTACAATTTTTTTTTTTTTTTTTTTTTTTTTTAAAATATAGGATCTCACTCTGTCACCAGGCTGGAGTGCAGTGGTATGATCATGGCTCACTGCAGCCTCAACCTTCCAGAGCCCAAATGACCCTCCCACCTTCAGCCTCCCAAGTAGTTGTTACTACAGGCACACACCACCATGCCCAGCTATTTTTTGTATTTTTAGTAGAGATGAGGTTTCACCATGTTGCCCAGGCTAGTCTCCGACTGCGGGCTCAAGTGATCCACCCTCCTTGTCCTCTCAAAGTTCTGGGATTACAGCCATGAACCACTGTACCTGGCTGAGGTACAACATTCTATACTTAATTTGATAGTTTTTTTTTTTAAAGTAATTAAAGGATGTTGAATTTTGTCAATTTTTTTCTGCATTTAATAAGATAATCAAAAGATTTGTCCTTTATACTGTTAACATTGTGTATCACATTTATAAACTTGCATTTACTGAACCATCCTCACATCATTGGGGTAAATCCCACATGATCATGGTTAAATGATTCTTTAATGTGCTGTTGAATTTTGTGCTAGTATTTTGTTGAGGATTTTTGCATCTATAGTCATCAGAAATAAATTGGTCTATAGTTTTCATTTCTTATATCTTGTCTGGCTTTGGTATCAGGGAAATGCTGACCTTGTAAAATGAGTTTGGAAGTATTTCTTATTTGATTTTTTTGAAGTGTGACAAGGACTGGTATTATTTCCTTAAATGGTAGAATTACACAATGAAGCCATCAGCTCGAGTTTTTCTTGGGTGGAAGATTTTAAATTATTGATTCATTTCATTACTTATTCATCTGCTCATATTTTAAATTTCATCATGATTTAGTTTTTGATTATGTTTAGATTTTGTATATGTTTATATGTTTAGATTCCTAAACTTATAACCTAAGTTATCCAATTTGTTGGCATATAATTATTCATAGTGGTCTCTAGTGATCCTTCATATTTATTTGTATCAGTTACAATGTTTTCCATTTCTGATTTTGAGCATTCTTTCTTAGGTTTGTATAGATTTCTTGGCCTTTCTAAAGTTTTATATTGTTTATCTTTAACAACCCAGTTTAATTTATATTTTCTATCATTTTTCTAGTCTCATTTCTGCTCATGCCTTTTTTTTTCTTGTACTAATTTGGGGCTTAGTTTCTTTTTCTATTTTCTTGAGGTGTAACAATTAGGCCATTTGTTTGGGATCTTTTTTTGATGCTGGCACTTATTGTTGTAACAATAAGGCACTTATTCCTTCTTAGATTGCGTCTGCTGCATCCCATACGTTTTGGTGTGTTGTGCTTCCATTTTATCTCAATCTTTAATTTCCCCTCTAATTTATTTGACCTTTTGATTTTTCAGGAAAATATTTAAGTTTTCATATATTGGTAAGTTTTCAAAAATTCTTCCAGTTATTGCTTTTTAGTTTCATACTATTGTGGTCTAAAAAGATACTTGATATGATTTTGATTTTTTTAAATTTGTTAAGCCTTGTTTTGTGGATTAACATGATCCATCCTCGAGAATGTTTTTTGTGTACTTGAGAATATATATGCTGCTATTCTTGGATTAAATGTTCTGCATATGGTTATTAGGTTCATTTGGTCTAGAGTTCTCTCTAGATTATTTGCACATTGCTGAAAGTGGGGGTATTGACGTCCCCTAGTAATTGTATTATACATTCTTTGTCTATTAATATTACCTTTATATATTCAGGTGGCCTGATATTGGCTACACAGATATACTTACAATTGTTATACCTTCTTGATGAATTGACCCCTTTTATCAACATATTTATCATTTTACAGTTTTTGACTTAAATTCTATTTTACCTAAGTATTATCCCTGCTCTATTTTTGGTTTCCATTTGCGTGGAATATAGTTTACCATCTTTACTGTTGGTGTGTGGGTTTTTACAGGTGAAGTAGTCTCATAGGCAGCATACAGTTGAGTCTTTTTTAATCTATTAAGCCACTCTGTCTTTTGATTAGGCAATTTAATTCATTTACATCCAAGGTAATTATTGATAAGTAAGGCCTTAGTATTGCCATTTTGCTAATTGTTTCGTATTTTTTTTTTTTTTTTTTTTTAGAGCCTTTGTTTCTATCTTGTTATCTTCCTTTGAAAATTTCTGTAGTGGTATATTTTGATTCTTTACTTTTTATCTTTTGTGTATTTACTATAGGTTTTTGCTTTGACATTTACAGGAAGCCTACAGACAACATTGTAATAGGCTATTTTAAGCTGATAAATTTGATTAAACATTTCTACGCTTTACTCAATCTCACCCACATTTTATGTTTCTGATGTCACAATTTACACCTTTTATATTGTCTGTCCCTTAATGATTAGTGTAGCTATTTTCAGTTTTGTCTTTTAACCTTCATACTAAAGATGGAAGTAACTTACATATTACTATATATCACCATTAGAGTATCAGAGTATTCTGAATCTGGGCATATACTTAAAAAAAAAAACAAAAAAAAACACTGAGTTTTATACTGTCAGCTATTTTCATGTTACAAATTAGCTCCCTTTTCTTTCAGCTTCAATTTTTCCTTTAGTATTTATTGTAAAACAGGTCAGGTGTTGATGCATCCCCTCATCTCCTGGCTGTCTGGGAAAGTCTGTCTCTCTTTATTTCCAAAGGACAACTCACTGGGTAAATGTTGCTTCATTAGCTTTTTTTCCCCTTCAGTCCTTTGAGTATGTTGTCTGGCCTATAATGTGTCTGTTGAGAAATCCACTATCAGACTTATAGAACTCCCTGATAGGTGACTTTTCTCTTTCTGTTTTCTCCTTGTCTTTGATTATGGTATGCCTCAATGCCTTGTTTAGATTGAATCTTATTTCAAAAACCTTTTACCTTCTTGTACCTGGATATTTATATATTTTCCCAGATTGGAAAGTTTTACCTATTTTTTAAATTAAGCTTTCTGTCCTTTTCTCCTCTTGTTCTGCCTAAACTCCTATAATTCAAGAATTCGCTCTCTTGATATTGTCCCATAAATTCCATAGGCTTCTTACTTTTTTCTCCTTTGTTTTCTTTTTTCTTTTTCTTTTTTTTTCAGATAAAAAGTTGAGTTTATTAGGGAAATATGAGAGGCATAGACACTCCCAAGTGACAGAAAGAAAGGTCTAAAAATGTCCCTTCAAGCCAAGTGGGGGCCTGGTCTTGACCTCCCCAAATCAACAAGAAACTGGTGGGTCTGCAACAACATTCTCTGGCAGGCACATTGCCAGGGCATGAGTGTCTTGGCCAGGACTGCCCCCCACTTCCCACCAAAGGTGGTGAGGAGATAAAGATTGTTCACAGAAGCAGTGTAAAGGCAATGAGAACTTTAAGGAAAGTTTGAGAGAGAGAGAGAAAGAAAGATAGAGGCGGGGAGGACCTTCACAAAGAGTCCCAGGGTTTTGGCTGTGAATGTCTCAAATACCTTGACAAGTAGATCTATAAAATGTTACTGAAAAGGTAAAATGCCTAATGTCGTTTCCAACAGTTCCTCTGGACTTCTCCCCACATAACACACCACAGCCCAGATGGCAGAGCCCAAAGGCCACACTTTTGAAAAAAGAAAAACAAGAATAAGCCCCGTTGCTCTTTAAGGAGAAAGGAAGGAGCTGAAGGCTACTGGGGCCTTTCCCATGTGGCCTGTGTTGTATAAAGCAACTTCCCAGCAGCAGCAGGTCACTGTTCTAGGTGAGTGTCTCACCTTTTGTCACCCGTGCTTCAATGTACTCTATTCTCCGTTCAAGGGCTGTCAATTTCTCGTTTAGTGTTGCAAGTCTTGAACGACAAGACATATCGAAGGAGTTGAGAAAGTCCGCAATTTTCTTGATGTTGCTGGTGATTATCTCAATGTACTCCTGGTTAGGCCAGTCCTGGTGAATCTCCTGCTGCACTGGATCCTCCTGTCCCGCCATGGCGGCCACCTGAGGAAGAGCGACTGCTCTCCTTTGTTTTCAAATTTTCCTCTGCTTGATCAATTCTGCTGTTGATTCTATTTGATGTTTTTTCATTTCTGTTGTATTGCTTAGCTCCAGAATTTAAAAAATTTCATCTGTTACATTTGTCTTCCTAGTTTTTTTTTTTTTTTTTTGAATTATTTCTCTGTATTTTCTTGAGTCTAAGATTTTTAAAAACAATTATTTTGGAAGATGGCCGAATAGGAACAGCTCCAGTCTTCAACTCCCAGCGCGAGCGACACAGAAGACCGGTGATTTCTGCATTTTCAACTGAGGTACTGGGTTCATCTCACTGGGGAGTGCCAGATGATCGGTGCTGGTCAGCTGCTGCAGCCCGACCAGCGAGAGCTGAAGCAGGGCGAGGCATTGCCTCACCTGGAAAGCGCAAGGGGGAAGGGAATCCCTTTTCCTAGCCAGGGGAACTGAGACACACAACACCTGGAAAATCGGGTAACTCCCACCCCAATACTGCGCTTTAAGCAAACCGGCACACCAGGAGATCATATCCCACACCTGGCCGGGAGGGTCCCACACCCACGGAGCCTCCCTCATTGCTAGCACAGCAGTCTGTGATCTACCGGCAAGGCAGCAGCGAGGCTGGGGGAGGGGCGCCCGCCATTGCTGAGGCTTAAGTAGGTAAACAAAGCTGCTGGGAAGCTCGAACTGGGTGGAGCTCACAGCAGCTCAAGGAAACCTGCCTGTCTCTGTAGACTTCACCTCTGGGGACAGGGCACAGTAAACAATAACAAATGCAGAAGCTCTGCAGACGCAAACAACTCTGTCTGACAGCTTTGAAGAGAGCAGTGGATCTCCCAACACGGAGGTTGAGATCTGAGAAGGGACAGACTGCCTGCTCAAGTGGGTCCCTGACCCCTGAGTAGCCTAACGGGGAGACATGCCCCACTAGGGGCAGTCTGACACCCCACACCTCACAGGGTGGAGTACACCCCTGAGAGGAAGCTTCCAAAGCAAGAATCAGACAGGTACACTCGCTGTTCAGAAATATACTATCTTCTGCAGCCTCTGCTGCTGATACCCAGGCAAACAGGGTCTGGAGTGGACCTCAAGCAATCTCCTACAGCTACAACCTACAGCTGAGGATCCTGACTGTTAGAAGGAAAGCTATCAAACAGGAAGGACACCTACACCAAAACCCCATCAGTACATCACCATCATCAAAGACCAGAGGCAGATAAAACCACAAAGATGGGGAAAAAGCAGGGCAGAAAAGCTGGAAATTCAAAAAATAAGAGTGCATCTCCCCCGGCAAAGGAGCGCAGCTCATCGCCAGCAACGGATCAAAGCTGGACGGAGAATGACTTCAACGAGATGAGAGAAGAAGGCTTCAGTCCATCAAATTTCTCAGAGCTAAAGGAGGAATTACGTACCCAGCGCAAAGAAACTAAAAATCTTGAAAAAAAAGTGGAAGAATTGATGGCTAGAGTAATTAATGCAGAGAAGCTCACAAACGAAATGAAAGAGACGAAAACCATGGCACGAGAAATACGTGACAAATGCACAAGCTTCAGTAACCGACTCGATCAACTGGAAGAAAGAATGTCAGCGATTGAGGATCAAATGAATGAAATGAAGCGACAAGAGAAACCAAAAGAAAAAAGAAGAAAAAGAAATGAACAAAGCCTGCAAGAAGTATGGGATTATGTAAAAAGACCAAATCTATGTCTGATTGGGGTGCCTGAAAGTGAGGGGGAAAATGGAACCAAGTTGGAAAACACTCTTCAGGATATCATCCAGGAGAACTTCCCCAACCTAGTAGGGCAGGCCAACATTCAAATTCAGGAAATACAGAGAACGCCACAAAGATATTCCTCGAGAAGAGCAACTCCAAGACACATAATTGCCAGATTCACCAAAGTTGAAATGAAGGAAAAAATCTTAAGGACAGCCAGAGAGAAAGGTCGGGTTACCCACAAAGGGAAGCCCATCAGACTAACAGCAGATCTCTCGGCAGAAACTCTTCAAGCCAGAAGAGAGTGGGGGCCAATATTCAACATTCTTAAAGAAAAGAATTTTCAACCCAGAATTTTATATCCAGCCAAACTAAGTTTCATAAGTGAAGGAGAAATAAAATCCTTTACAGATAAGCAAATGCTAATCCTTTTACAGATAAGCAAATGCTTAGAGATTTTGTCACCACTAGGCCTGTCTACAAGAGACTTGAAGGAAGCACTCAAACATGGAAAGGAACAACCGGCAATTGGCCATTGCAAAAACATGAAATGTAAAGACTCATCAAGGCCAGGAAGAAACTGCATCAACTAACGAGCAAAACAACTAAGCACACTGGCAATGGCAGGATCAAGTTCACACACATAACAATCTTAACCTTTAAATGTAAATGGACTAAATGCTCCAATTAAAAGACACAGACTGGCAAACTGGATAAAGAGCCAGATCTAATGTCTGCTGTATTCAGGAGACTCCATCCTTCACGCAGAGACATACATAGGCTCAAAATAAAGGGATGGAGGAAGATTTACTGCCAAATGGAGAACACAAAAAGCGGGGGTTGGGTAATACTAGTCTCTTGATAAAACAGACTTCAAACCATCAAAGATCAAAAGAGACAAAGAAGGCCATTACATAATGGTAAAGGGATCAATTCAACAGAAGAGCTAACTATCCTAAATATATATGCACCCAATACAGGAGCACCTAGATTCATAAAGCAAGTCCTTAGAGACTTACAAAGAGACTTAGACTCTCACACAATAATAATGGGAGACTTCAACACTCCACCGTCAACATTAGACAGATCAACGAGACAGAAAGTTAACAAGGATATCCAGGAATTGAACTTCATCTCAAGCGCGAGACTTTATTAGATATCTAGAATCCTCTACCCTAAATCAATAGAATATATTTTTTAGTACCCATTGTATTTATGCCTAAAATTGGACTACGTAATTAAGCAAAGCACTCTCACAAATGTACAAGAACAGAAATTATAACAAACTGTCTCTCAGACCACAGTACAATCAAATTAGAACTCAGTACTAAGAAACTCAATCAAAACCGCTCAACTACATGGAAACTGAACAACCTGCTCCTGAATGACTACTGGTACATAACGAAATGAAGGCAGAAATAAAGATGTTCTTTGAAACCAACGAGAACAAAGATAAAACATACCAGAATCTCTGGAACACATTTAAAGCAGTGTGTAGAGGGAAATTTATAGCACTAAAATGCCCACAAGAGAAAGCAGGAAAGATCTAAAATTGACACTCTAACATTGCAATTAAAAGAACTAGAGAAGCAAGAGCAAACACATTCGAAAGCTAGCAGAAGGCAAGAAATAAATAAGATCAGAGCAGAACTGAAGGAGATAGAGACACAAAAAACCCTCCAAAAAATCAATGAATCCAGGAGTTGGTTTTTTTGAAAAGATCAACAAAATTGACAGACTACATAAAGCAAGACAAATAAAGAAGAAAAGAGAGAAGAATCAAATCGACGCAATTAAAAATGATAAAGGGGATATCACCACTGACCCCACAGAAATACAAACTACCATCAGAGTACTATAAACACCTCTACGCAAATAAACTGGAAAATCTAGAAGAAACGGATAATTTCCTGGACACTTACACTTCCAAGACTAAACCAGGAAGAAGTTGATTCCCTGAATAGACCAATAGTAGGCTCTGAAATTGAGGCAATAATTAATAGCCTACCAACCAAAAAAAGTCCAGGACCAGATGGATTCACAGCTCAATTCTACCAGAGGTACAAGGAGGAGCTACTACCATTCCTTCTGAAACTATTCCAATCAATTGAAAAAGAGGGAATCCTCCCTAACTTATTTTATGAGGCCAACATCATCCTGATACCAAAGCCTGGGAGAGACACAACAAAAAAGAGAATTTTAGACCAATATCCCTGATGAACATTGATGCAAAAATCCTCAATAAAATACTGGCAAACCGGATTCAGCAGCACATCAAAAAGCTTATCCACCATGATCAAAGTGGGCTTCATCCCTGGGATGCAAGGCTGGTTCAACATTTGCAAATCAATAAATATAATCCAGCATATAAACAGAACCAAAGACAAGAACCACATCATTATCTCAGTAGATGCAGAAAAGGCTTTGACAAAATCTAACAGCTCCTTCATGCTAAAAACGCTCAATAAATTTGGTATTGATGGAACGTACCTCAAAATAATAAGAGCTATTTATGACAAACCCACAGCCAATATCATACTGAATGGGCAAAAACTGGAAAAATTTCCTTTGAAAACTGGCACAAGACAGGGATGCCCTCTCTCACCACTCCTATTCAACATAGTGTTGGAAGTTCTGGCTAGGCAATCAGGCAAGAGAAAGAAATCAAGGGGATTCAGTTAGGAAAAGAAGAAGTCAAATTGTCCCTGCTTGTGATGACATACTTGTATATTTAGAAAACCCCATTGTCTCAGCCTGCACCCTTAAGCTGATAAGCAACTTCAGCAAAGTCTCAGGATAAAAATTAATGTGCAAAAATCACAAGCATTCTTATACATCAGTGACAGTCAAACAGAGAGCCAAATCAGGAATGAACTTCCATTCACAATTGCTTCAAAGAGAATAAAATACCCAGGAATCCAACTTACAAGGGATGTGAAGGACTCCTTCAAGGAGAACTACAAACCACTGCTCAGTGAAATAAAAGAGGACACAAACAAATGGAAGAACATACCATGCCCATGGATAGGAAGAATCAATATCGTGAAAATGGCCATACTGCCTAAGGTAATTTATAGATTCAATGCCATCCCCATCAAGCTACCAATGAGCTTCTTCACAGAATTGGAAAACTGCTTTAAAGTTCATATGGAACCAAAAAAGAGCCCGCATCTCCAAGACAATCCAAGTCAAAAGAACAAAGCTGGAGGCATCACGCTACCTGACTTCAAACTATACTACAAGGCCATGCAACTAAAACAGCATGGTACTGTACTCAAACAGAGATATAGACTCAATGGA